TGCCCGCCCCTCTGCAGGGTCGTGGCCAGGGGCTGCAAGGTGAGACACCCCTTGGGGACGCCTCGCCGGCCCCTCTCAAACATGGCGGCCGCAGGTGCACCAAGGCGTCCCTCACAAACATGGCCGTCCGCCCTCTCAAACATGGCGGCCAAAAACGCTTCAAGGGAAGCGCCCCTCACGAACGTGGTTGCCCACCCCTCTCAAACATGACGGCCACAGGCGCAAAAAGGAAAGCGCCCCTTACAAACATGGACGTCTGCTACTCTCAAATATGGTGGCCAAAGAGGCTTCAAGGGAAACGCCCCTCTCAAACATGGCGGCAACAGGTGCACCAAGGGAAGCCCATGAACATGGCCGTCCGCCCCCTTCAAATATAGCGTAGACGCTACAAGGAAATCGCCCCCTTGAACATAACCTCCCAGGCCTGCCACGGGCGTGGGAAGCATGGCGGCTACAGGGCTGCCAAGGGACGCGCGCCTCACGAACACGGCCGGCCACAGCTCCCCACCGCGGGCCGAAAGCCAGCGAGCTGCGCGCGCCGCTGACGTAAGCGACCACTGTGGCGTCACATGACGAAGGCGCTGCGCTGTGATTGGCTGTGCGGAGGTCGGTGGCGGCCGCGGCGCGCTCTGCGGACTCCGCGTCGCTGTTCGGCCGGGACGCGTTGGGCCGGGGGCGCGGGGCTTGGCGGCGGTGCTCACTCATGAGGAGCCGGAAGGTGAGGGCTGGAGCCCGGCGGCAGCTGCGCTGGGCGGCGTTGGCGGGGGCGCTCCGGGCCACCCGCTGTCTGGAGAGCCGTGGCGGTGTCACGGGGCGCCTGCGGCCCAGGAGCGGCCTCCGCTTGGGCCTCGCCCCCGGGAGGAGGGAGGCTCCCAGGTCAAGCCCCCGGGAGAGGGGGCGCTCCCAGGCTGCGCCCCGGGAGCAGTGAAGCGCTGAGGCCACGCCCCCGGGAGCATGGGGGATCCGGGCCGCGCCCGTGGGACAAGTGGCGCTCACCCGGGTAAGAGGGCGCCCAGGTCAGCCCCCGCAGCCGGAGAAGGGGGCTCCCAGGCCACGCCCCCCTGAAGGGAGGCCTCGGACCACTGTCCCAGGAAGGTGGGGTGCCCGCTGCAGAACCGGTTTCCACTCCTGGCGGTGCTGGATGCCTCAGAGCTGAGTTTGTGCCCCTCGGCTGCTGCCACTCCAGCGGAGGTCACACAGCGTGCCACCTGAGCTTGGCCCCGGCCACTTAACATGCAGAAAAATGGGGTGATGAGGGGTCCACCCAGAGGGCGGCGCGGACTGAAGGCGGGTGTCGGGCAAGGAGCAAATGCTCGCCGCGTGCGTAGCGGCGGAGGGGAGGGACCCCTTCACCGTGGACCCGGCCCGCAGCTGGGCCGGAGCCTCGTGGGAGGCTCTGAGCTGCCTCTGGGCTCTCCTGGTTTATTCACATGGAGTGGCCGCTTGTGATTTCCAACTCCTTTTACTATTTTTGTCTTTGAACCAAAATGTGTCTCCTATAGGCAGCGTATACTTGGATCTTTTTTCAAATCCAGCCTGGTAGTCTCTGTAGTGACGTTTACATGTGCCATTTTACTTTTTCTTTTCTTGACACCAGTCTTTTTCTTCCCCTGTTCCTTCTTTAAGTGGATTAAAGTGAACATTTCCTAACGTAGCATTTTCATGAATTTTTTTTTTTACTATATTTTTGGGGTTTTTTTCGCAGTGCTTGCTCTGTGTTTTACCATATATATCTTAATCAGCTTCATATTTGTACTAGGTTAATTCCAAGTGATACAGAAATGTTACTCTTACATGGTTATGTTTCTGGTGTTTTGTTATATGTATTACATCTGTTGATGTTACAAACTCAACAATACGGTGTTACAATTATTACTATCTGTGGTCGTTTCCTTAGACCCATAGGGCTTTGCTTTCACCCACTTTGTTTTGTTATTGGCAAATACAGTACATGTCTGTATATATTACATATGTATTATTGCATACAATTGCTTTCAAAATTAGTTGAGAGGAGGAAGTAGAAAGTAAGCATTTACCCTAGCTTTTGTAAGAACATAATTACCTTTGCTGGTGGGGTGTGTGTGTGTGTGTGTGTGTGTGTGGAGGGGGGGGTTAATTACTGTCTGGGATCACTTGCTTTCAGTCTAACTTCCTTTAGTATTTCTTGTAAAGTGAGGGTTTTTTTTGTTTGAGTTGGAGTCTCGCTCTGTTGCCCGGGCTGGAGTGCAGAGGTACAGTCTCGGCTCACTGCAATCTCCGCCTCCTGGGTTCAAGTGATTCTCCTGCCTCAGCCTCTGGAACGGCTGGGATTACAGGTGCCCACCACCACGCTAGCTACTTTTTGTATTTTCACTAGAGATGGGGTTTCATCATGTTGGCCAGGCTGGGTCTCAAACTCCTGACCTCAGGTCATCTACCTGCCTCATCCTCCCAAAGCTCTGGGATTACAGGCATAAGCCATCACTCCCAGCCCATTTTTGAAGTAGCTTTGCTAGCTATAGGTCCGAGTTTGTTTGTTTGTTTGAAATGGAGTCTTGCTCTGTTACCCAGGCTGGAGTTCAGTGGTGTGATCTCAGCTCACTGCAACCTCCACCTCCCGGGTTCAAGCGATTCTCCAGCCTCAGCCTCCTGAGTAGCTGGAACTACAGGCACGTACCACCAAGCCCAGCTAATTTTTTGTATTTTTAGTAGAGACATGGTTTCACTGTGTTCGCAAGGATGGTCTCAGTCTCCTGACCTCATGATCTGCCCGCCCCGGCCTCCCAAAGTGCTGGGATTACAGGTGTGAGCCACTGCACCTGGCTATTAGTCTATTAGTTTTTTTTTTTTTTTTCTGTTAGCATTTTGAATATGTTTGAATAGTCTCCATTGTTTCAGCCGAGAAGTCAGTCCTTCATTTATTGAGGTTGCCTTCTAAGTGGCTTCTTGTGGCTTTCAAGATTTTGTTCTTTTCTGGCTTTCAGAGTTTGCCCTTGATCTTTGTATTTTTACGGTGATGTATCTTTGGATCTCTTTGCATGTTCAGTTCATTCAGATTCCTGGATTTGTAGGTTGATGTTTTTCTGTAAATTTGGCGAGTTCTCAGCCATTACGTCTTGGGATATTTTTTCTGCTCCTTCCTGTCTGCATTCTTTGTGGTTCTTACTACACATATGTTAATGCACTTCATACTGTCCAACATTTCTCTGAGGCTGTCTTCAGTGTTCTTCATTCTTTTCTTCTCTCTGTTCCTCAGCGGGCATAATCTCTCCATCTAGCTTAAGTTTGCTTATTCTACCAGTTCATATCTGCTATTGGGCCCTTCTAGTGAATTTTTTTATTTCAGTTTTTAGACTTTTCTACTCCAGAATTTCTATTTGATTTTTAAGTAATTTCTCTTTATTGATAGTCTGTTTGATGCAACATTATCTTTCTTGTTTTTTCATGATTTTGATCTTGTTTATAACGGCTACCTTGGTCCTTTATATATGTATAAATCCAACTTCTGGTCACTCTCACAGACAGCTTCTGTGGCCTGCTTTTATTTCAGGGTATGAGTCTAGTTTTCTGTTTCTTTGATTGCTTCATAATTTTTTTGTCAGAATCTGGACATTTTAGATAATATATTTTAGCAATTCTGGGTACTGTCCCCAACCCTGGTGCTTGTCATTGTTAATATGCTTATATGCTTAGCAACTGGGCAGATTATTTTGATGAAGTGTGTTTCCCCTGCCACGGTGTTCAGCCTCTGATGTTGCTGGTGGGGGATGGCGCCCGGCTTTGAGTGTGCCCACAGCCACCCTGGGTGACAGTGGTTTTAGTGGGGTCCCTTTCCTCTTTCCCTGACCACATTCATCTGTTAAACTTTGCTAATGCCAGCTTATTGTGCTATTCTCAGCAATAGCCTGGGCATAAGTTGCTCTACAAACTAATCTAATCAAATTGTGGCTTCTTTGGAGGGATACTTTCTAAGGTTAGTGTTTGATTCGTTTGTTCTAAGCCCAAGAGGGCCCCTTCCAGCCGGGTTAGTCTCTGGCTCTCTCCAGCAAACTAGTTGGCCTACGATTTGGCCTCTTGCTTGATTTTGCACTGCCCCCCACCCGCTTTGTCACAGCCTCCACTGTTCTTGAGAGAGCTCCCTTAGGCTTGAACTTCTCCACATTCCATCACAGTGAATCCCATGCCTTTGGGAAGACTCTAAGAGCTGTCTGTTGAGTCGCCTGCGTCTCACCCCAATGAGAACCTCAGAGCCAGGCTGCACAGCTATGGACAGCAATAAACTTCTCTCTGAATGGGGGCGGCGGGGGATCTAGCAGCAGCCTGAGATCCTCCACATTTGCTTCCCCTGGTCTGGAACCACCTCCTATCAGGGACAAGGTTGATGGGGCCCAGTCTTCTTAGTTCACTGGGAAGTTTATGGAGCCAAGGTGAAGCCTCCATTCTACAAATAGGGTCTGAGCAGAAGGGAGGCCCCTCTTCTCAGTCCTGCTCACTCAGGACAAGTCTCAGCAACAAGTGGGATGAGAGCGGAAAGGGAAACACTGCTGCCCGCTTGCCCTGGGAAGAAAGCCCTCTGCCTGGGAGCCGGGGGAGCTGGCCCTGTGTTCTTGGCCGCAGCAGGACAGAGCTCCAATGCCCTAGACTCTCCACGTCCTGACCAAATTATGTAGCTGTGGAGCAAGTGTTTCTCCATTTGCTGGGTGCCCGTAGGACCATTTCCAAAGGGTCTCTAAGGGGTCGTTTTGGGGACTGTTCGTCACTGTGTCTGAGTAGGTCCTCATGCTGTGTCAGCTAGCCCTTTTGGAGAAACTATCTTTGTGCTTCCGATATTCCAGTTTTTAAACAGCCTACTAGCATGAGGAGGATGTCAGTGAAGAGAAAATCTTTGACCAATCTGAGCTGCCCAACTGCGGAGCAAGAATCTGCAAGTGAGAATGTGACCAATTCTTGACATTTTAGAGTTGACACCTTGGAGGTGGTTCATCCATAATGAAACTGAAGCTAAGCTGCTCTCAGATTTTGACTCCTGTCAGTCCGGAGTGCACAGCAAAGGGCCGGCTCAGGTGTCTGTAACAGCCAGCGCTTCCAAGCCCACCAGATCCTCTGCCTTTTCTCTGCAGAAGGGGCTGAAAGGTCACCTGATGAGCCTGTCACACGTAAGAGTTCAGAACCACTGCTGCCAAGATGCTGATGCAATCTTTGAGACGCACCTGCTGCAGGGAAAGAACTGCAGGCGCAGAACACACAGACGCGCAGGCGCGGAACGCTGAGACCCGCAGGCTCAGAACACGGACCTGCAGGCGCTGAACGCTGAGACCCGCAGGCTCAGAACACGGACCTGCAGGCGCTGAACGCTGAGACCCGCAGGCTCAGAACACGGACCTGCAGGCGCTGAACGCTGAGACCCGCAGGCTCAGAACACGGACCTGCAGGCGCAGAACGCACAGACATGCAGGCTCAGAACACAGACGTGCAGGTGCGGAACGCTGAGACCCGTAGGCGCAGAACAGAGTTCAGTCCGCACCTCAGGCAGTTTTGGGGGATCATATCTAGGGTGAGCTATGGTGATGGAAGAGAGATTTGGAGGCCAGGCATCACTTGTGTAACCTCATAAGCTCCTTGCCCGTTCTCCCCATCTGAAATGGGGGTGTCGCTCCTTTAAAGCTGCTCAGGCACGGAGCTTGGCTCCCCACACAGCATATTCGGGCGCAGGGCAGCGCAGCGCCTGGAGGAGGGCTCCCAGCAGGGAGGAGAGAACGGGCAGTGGCTTTCTAGAACAGAGGTGTCTTTTCCCAGTGAGGCTCCTGATGGCATTTTAGGGAGATGGGCTTCAGACCCGTGGGAGGATTTTGATGAAAGATGTTTATGGCAACTCTTAGCAAGTTCTGTTACCTCTGTTGCCTCAGCTCCCTTGGTGTGGCTGTGACCGTGACGTCTGCCAGGGCTCTCAGCAAAGCCCTGCTCCTGGTGAGAGGATGGAGGCCCAGCCCCCGGTGTGCCATGGTAGCAGGTGCTTCACGGGCCTGGTGGCACCTGGTTCGTCCTGTGTATAGCTGGCAGGTGTCCTGGCCTCCTGCGGGCTGCTGCCTGCTCTTCTCCCCCATTTCAAACGCAACTCCAACTGCCACAATATCATGGCGTCCGGAGCTGTCTTGGGCTCCGGGCTGGTGGCGGAGGTGGCTTATCTCTGTGCGTCGTCGCTGCTGTCGTCGTCGTTTGCTTTTTTATTTCTCTTGCCTGCTGTGGGGCAGAGCGCTCCTCGTCCGTCCCTCTGCGTTCCAGCTCTAGGGCCTGTCGGCAGTAGCTCTTGGGCCTTTCCTGGCCGTTCCAACCTGCATTGCTCCTTTTTATTGCTTCTGCTACTCACACTCATTTCTTTTGAGTTTTAAGGTGAGTTTTAAAACGTATCATCATCTAAGTGCAATATGGTATTCTAGACTGGATCCCAGAACAGAGAAACAGTTCATGGAGAAACTGATAAAACACAAATAAAGTCTATAATTTAGTGAAGAGAATTGTGCTGTCGCTCATTTCTTTCTTTCTTTTTTTTTTTTTTTTTGAGAAGGAGTCTCCCTCTGTCACCCAGGCTGGAGTGGTGTAATAGCGTGATCTCAGATCACTGCAACCTCTGCTTCCCGGGTTCAAGCGATTATCCCAAGCAGCTGAGACTACAGACATGCGCCACCATTCCCGGCTAATTTTTGTATTTTTAGTAGAGACAGGGTTTCGCCGTGTTGGCCAGGCTGGTCTCGAACTCCTGACCTCAGATGAGCCACCCACCTTGCCCTCTCAAAAGTGCTGGGATTACAGGTGTGAGCCGCCCCATCTGGCCACTGATTTCTGAATGTTGACACGTCTATAGTTGTTTAACGTTAGTTGAAGCCAAGTGAAGGCTACATAGCAACTCGCTATACTATTTTTATATCATTATTTTTTCAGAGACATGGTCTTACTCTGTCACCCAGGTGGAGTGCAGTACGGCAGTCATAGCTCACTGCAGCCTCAAACTCCTGGGATCAAGTGATCCTCTCACCTCAGCCTCCCATATAGCTGAGACTACAGGTGCACACCACCACAGCTTGCTAATTTTTTTTTTTTTTTAATTTTTTTAGAGATGGGATCTTGCTGTGTTGCCCAGGCTGGTCTTGAACTCCTGGCCTCAAACAATCCTGCCTCAGACTCCCAAGTAGCTGTGATGACAAGTGTGAGCCATCACTCCTGTTTCTTTGTACTACTATTTGGAACTTTTCTGAAAACCTAAAATTATTTCTAGTTATTTAAAGTGTTGTGTCTTTAATTTCTTTCTTGTTATTAGAAGAGTTTGCTTTGCATTCAGAATGAAGGAGAGGTAGAGCAGTTTGTTAGGAGAAGATTTGTGAGACCAGTAGCTTGCTGCTTTCAGCTAATAGAATGGGACTCTAATTCGAGGGAGAGAAGCTTTGGTTTCCTCATGTGGCCTTTTATCAAGAGCTTTGACAGTGTAGAAAAGTTGCAGATCCTTCTCAGGGTGGGCATGTCCTGCTTATTCTAAACACTTTGAAGTTGACTTAAGTTCCACTAATGTACACATGGTGGTTACTAGAAACATGCAAGATAAGGGACCAGATCGCCCCAGGCCTCCGAGATCCTGGAAAGAGTAGCTCCTGTATCTTAAACCCAGGCACAGTTTTGTTTCGATTTGCACATTCGGGCCACTGGTGTCTCCACAAAGATGATACTCCATGGGAGTAGGGGGCTGTCTTCGCGCTATCTGTAGGTGGGAAATTCTCCTCTGCGCATTCATGCTGCTTTCCCGAGAGTACTCTCTGACTGGCTCTCGATCTGGTCTAGCTCACAGGTGGAGTGCGGTCTTCAGCACGCCTGAAAGCCCGAAATTGTTCGGCAACCGGGTTGGCCTCTGCCCAGGAAGTCGCTGGTTCCACGTCTGCCAAGACAGCATGTCTGGTGAGCCCTGTTACCATGGAGAACGCCAAGTTCCTGACTCAAGAGTCCATTTTCATACAAAATTGTCATTCCAAGATGTGTCGCTTTAGAAAAATATCAAATGTTGCCTATCTGCCAGAGGGGGAATATTTCAGATGAAAAGGCAGCAGCACTCTAATTGCCTTCAGGGAAAGACACACTGACAGGTCCTCGTGTGTGTGTGTGTGTGTGTGTGTGTCTGTCTAGACCCAGGCTCTGAGACCACTTGTGCTCGTCGCTCTGCTCTCAGGTCAGCTGTCCAGTCTTGCTGGCCCATTGCCTTCCCGCCTCGCCCCAGAGGCTTTAAGAGAAAGGCAGAGTGGGTGGGAAAGGCTCATGTCAAGTGCCATTCAGCCTAGCACAGCTGTCATTTCTGAGCAGTGGGTTCCTGAACTTACAGGTGCAGTAGAGCTGTGCCACTGAACCCAGAGCTGCAGCCAAGGGGTTGGGACTTGGCCATATGCCAGCCTCATAATGAGGGGTTTGGTAAAAATTTGTCAAAGTCAATTTAGCAAATATTTTTAAGCACCTACTGTGTGCCAGACAGTAGTCCGTGAATAAAGCAAAGACCCCTGCCTTCACGGAGCTTTTGCCCTAGCAGAAATACAGGAAAGCTGGATTCTTTTGTTGTAATTGTATGATATGTAAATCCATGCTTCAGAATTCTCTCAGGAACTGTGACGCCTCTAGGAAAACTGAACGTGGAGGGTGCTGTTGGGGTGTGTCTGGATTCAGTCGCAGCCTCACTCGGATTTTGTCTCTTGGTGGCAGTGAAATGGCGATCTGTGAAGATTGTGGTCTTTATCATTTCACCCATGAGAAGTAATAGTAGCCTCTGGATTGACGCCTGTTTTATTTGCTAGATGTGTCTGGTTCCCCTTACATTTTTTTTCTTGACAGACTTCCTCATACCACAAAGCCACAGACAGGCGAATGTCCAAGAAGTTCAAGTGTGACAAAGGTCATCTTGTGAAGTCAGAATTACAGAAGCTTGTCCCTAAGAATGACAGCACTTCTTTGCCAAAAGTGACACCGGAGAACCCTTGTGAAGATGAGTTTGCTGAAGGCAGGGCCTTGCTTCCAAGAGGTGAGGCTGGAGCTTCTGTGCAGCAGAAGGCTGCAAGTCTGCCCCTCGGTGGCTGCAGAGCTGTGAGTGACTCTCGCTTGGCAAAGACTGAAGGTGGCCTGTCCCTGCCGAAACACAGTGCCGGGGCAGGGGCAGAAGAATCCAACAGCAGCTCCACTGTGCAGAAACAGAATGAGTCGGGGCTAGAGGCAGACGACATGCAGAAGCCACCACTTCAGATGGACAACAGCATCTTCCTAGATGACGACAGCAATCAGCCAATGCCCGTGAGCCGCTTCTTTGGAAACGTTGAGCTCATGCAGGTAAGAGTGGCACCTTCCTCCTTCCGAGGGCATCAGGCAGCCAGCGGCACATTCAAGTCACACGCTCCCCACTTAACTGCATGTGAATAATGCCTTGACACAAAATTCAACGTCAGTTAATCATTTTAACCCCAGAGGTGAAAATGAAACCGTTGGCTCATTGGGAGCACTCCCTCCGTCTCCCAAGCTGAGAATCATTGCCACAGGGAAAGGCTGTGGCAAGGGAAGTGGGGCGCGGGGCGGTCTCCCCCCACAGCCACAGGTGTGCTTTCATGGAATCAGGTGTGCGGTTTTTGGAGCATCCATCCCGTGCTTTCTGTTGCTTTCTCTTTTGTTTTGAACCCAGCATCTTTCCTTCTCTTTGCTTAATCAGCCCAGTAGGAAAGAAGTTCTTATCTAGAGAACGTGCTGGGACTCGGTCATTTTCACGCGTCTCAAAGGGAAGAGTGCTCTGCAGCCGCGGTGCGAGAGGGTGGGGTGCACTGCGGGTGCAGACGCGTGTTGCTCGTGACTCACGTCCATGTTCTCTTCCCCTCTAAGGACCTCCCACCTGTGTCTTCATCTTGTCCTTCAATGAGCAGACGAGAGTTCAGAAAAATGCACTTCAGAGCCAAAGACGACGACGACGATGACGCTGATGATGCCGAGATGTAGAGGCTTTACAGGGTGATGTCTGTGCATGGTCAGTACCATTAACGGTGGGACAGTTCAGCAAGTTACTAGATTTATATAAAATACATCTCCAAGAGAATGTCTTCTTGATCACGCTTCAGAACTGACGCATCACAGTCAATAGTGCAAAGCACCAGATGCCTGGAAGATGTACTCATGGGAGCAAACACTAAAACAGTCTTTGAAATTGCAAAGCTGCCGTACTGTGCCAGTGGCCTTTCTTTGTTTTTTCTTGTTTTTTTTTTTTTTGGAGATGAAGTTTCTCTCTCCATCTTGCTCTGTCGCCAGGCTGGAGTGCAGTGGCGTGATCTCGGCTCACTGCAGCTTCTGCCTCCCGGGTTCAAGCAATTCTCTGGCCTGAGCCTCCCCAGTAGCTAGGATTACAGGCATGCGCCACCACGCCCAGCTAGTTTTTGTATTATTAGTAGAGACAGGGTTTCACCATGTTGGCCAGGCTGGTCTCGAACTCCTGACCTCAGGTAATACACCTGCCTCAGCCTCCCAAAGTGCTGGGATTACAGGCATGAGCCACCACACCCGGCCAGTGTCCTTTCTTACCGACGTACATACATGATGGCTTGAGTCAGCTGCAGGGCAGAGGCTCACTGAGAGGGATCTTTGTAAAGACAGCTCTTCACTTCAGCGTGGTAGCTTTAGTGTGTTTTCCATTGTCATAATTTGATCATTCGTGTGATGAATCAAATGCTAGTTCTTAAAGAACTCTTTTATTTCTATATGTGGAGCTAATGTTTATCTTGGAAATTTTGCAAAATACATGTAAAAAAGAAATAAAATATACTTTGAAAGCAGTCTTATGTTCCTGAACCCAGATTCCTTTCTCAATGCCTGGGAGCCACGTGGAGGAAACGAATCCTGCCTCAGTCTCATGCTCCCAAATGCTTGTAAAGCTGGTCCTTTTTTTTTTTTTTTTTTTTTTTTTTTTTTTTCTTTTTTTTGAGACTGAGTCTCCCTCTGTCGCCCAGGCTGGAGTGCAGTGGCACAGCCTTGGCCCACTGCAACTTCTGCCTCCCGGGTTCAATGATTCTCCGACCTCAGCCTCCCAAGTAGCTAGGATTACAGGCATGTGCCACCATGCCCGGCTAACTTTTTGTATTTTTAGTAGAGACAGGGTTTCCCCATGTTGGCCAGGCTGGTCTCGAACTCCTGATCTCAGGTGATCTGCCCACCTCAGCCTCCAAAAATGCTGGGATTACAGGTTTGAGCCACTGTGCCTGGCACGGGTCCATCTTTTAGACCCATTAACCACTGAGGCCCTTGGGAAAGGCCCCTTCCCTCCTCGAGTGGACTTCTGCTCCCACGCATCTGCCACAGAAGTGTGGGGCTTTCCTCCTGTGTGGTGGGGAAGGCCAGCCGTCCAGCAAGGGCCATGCTCTCCTCCAGGCCATGGAGCGGGCCATCTGCAGCTGCCTCACAAGGACTGCGCTCCCCAGCCCCACCGGTGTCAAGGAGCGCCTCGCTGAGTGTTCTCGCCTGAGGCAGTGGAGAGAAGCCGTTGGGAGTGCTTTGTCCGTGGTCTCTTCCTGCTACCAACTGCACATAGAAGCCAAGTGGACCAACCAGGGGCGGGCTGGGGTTCCTGGGTGACCAAGGACAAGAAGCTGCCGGCCATGTGGGAAGACCGTGTGGGCCTTTTCATGAATGAGCAAGAGTCATGCTGCTTTTGAGCTATTATACGTTTCTGGTTTAAGAATAAGAGCAGCTAGAGGCCAGGTGCGGTGGCTCACGCCTGTAATCCCATCACTTTGGGAGGCCGAGGCAGGGTGGTCATGAGGTCAAGAGATGGAGACCATCCTGGCCAACATGGTGAAACCCCGTCTCTACTAAAAATACAAAAATTAGCTGGGCATGGTGGCCCATGCCTCTAATCCCAGCTACTGGGGAGGCTGAAGCAAGAGAATCGCTTTAACCCGGGAGGCGGAAGCTGCAGTGAGCCAAGATCGAGCCACCGCACTCTAGCCTGGTGACAGAGCAAGATTCCATCTCAAAAAAAAAAAAGGCAGCTAGATATAATCCTGTTAAAATGTCCTGTGAAGCACAGGAAGGATTTTCCATGACACAAATTGGAAGCAAAATACAGGTGAAGTGACCCATGAGAAGTGTTTCCACTCTTTATTGTTCAAATACTGCCCTTCCAATGTGATCCTTTTCTCATGAGCTGTGACCTTCACCTGCTTTGAATCACTTCGTGATTTATTGTTCAACATACTATCATTTGAAAATATGGCTTGTAAAGTCATTTTATGATAGGGAAAATAATTTACAACTTTGACCAGGCACAGTGGCTCATGCCAGTAATCCCAACGCTTTGGGAGGCCAAAAGGTGGTCAGATTACTTGAGGTCAGGATTCAAGACCAGCCTGGCCAACATGGTGAAACCCCATCTCTACTAAAAATACAAAAATTAGCCCCTGTGGTAGTGGGTGCCTGTAATCCCAGCTACCTGGGAGGCTGAGGCAGGAGAATCACTTGAACTCAGGAGGTGGAGGTTCCAGTGAGCCAAGATCACGGCATTGCACTCCAGCCTGGGCAACAGAGCAAGACTCTGCCTCAAAACAATAAATAAGTTAATAATGTACAACTTTAGACTGCTGCTTGAATAACTGAATAACAGGACCTATCTCAGTGGGGATGAGAATTCTGCCATCCTCTAAGCAGACTTCAGTGAGGTGCACGGTCCCGAATGATGATGCACCTGCAGAGGAGACGCAGGCAGAGTGGAAAGCACGTGCGTTCTGGGGCCACCCCTGCTCACTCACAGTTGTTAACCTGCACTAACAAGCACTCCCAGGTGGAAACACTTCCCTAATCTGCATATGGACTTTTAAGCATCAGTCCTAGCTGGACGCAGTGGCTCACACCTGTAACCCCAGGACATTGGGAGGCCAAGGTGGGCAGATCACTCGAGGTCGGGATTCGAGACCAGCTTGGCCAACATAGTGAAACCCCATCTCTAGTAAAAATACAAAAATTAGCCAGGTGTGGTGGTGGGTGCATGTAGTCCCAGCTGCTCCAGAGGCTGAGGCAGGAGAACTGCTTGAACCTGGGAGGCAGAAGTTGCAGTGAGCCCAGATTGTGCTACTGCACTACAGCCTGGATGACAGTGAGACACTGTCTCAAAAAAAAAAAAAAAAAAAAAAAAAAAGGCTGGGCACAGTGGCTTACACCTGTAATCACAGCACTTTAGGAGGCTGACTAGGGAGGATGGCTTGAGGCCATGATTTCCAGACCAATCTGGGCAATACATTGAGACCGACCCTGTCTCTACAAAAATTAGCTACATGTGGTGACACATGCCTGTGGTCCCAGCTACTTGCAAGGCTGGGATGAGATCACTTGAGCCCAGGAGTTGGAGGCTGCAGTGAGCTGTGATTGCACACTGCACTCGAGAGAGAGCAAGGTGACAGAGCAAGACCCGCTCTGTGTAAATACACACAACGTGTCCCCTGTAAAGAAGGCACAGACAACAGGGCATTTCGTGAGTCTTGTGGAGCCTTTGGGGACAGGGCAGGGAAGAGGGACATTTGGGGACAGGCACAGGGGCCAGGAGCAGAGGCCACGCCATGTTTGCTCACAGAGGCTGTGGCAAGGTTTTGCTTTTGTTTTGACGGGGTCTCACTCTGTCAGCCGGGCTGGAGTGCAGTGGCATCATTGCAGCTCCCCGCAGCCTTGCCCGCCTCAGACTCGGGTGATCTTCCCACCTCAGCCTCCTGAGTGGCTAGGACTACAGGTGCACATCACCGGGCCTGGCTAATTTTTGTCTTTTTTGTTGAGACAGCGTTTCACCAGGTTGCCCAGGCTGGTCTCCAACTCCCAAAAGTGCTAAGATTACAGCCATGAGACACTGTGCCCGTGGCAGTTTCTTAAAATAAGACAATAAAGTTTGCCACACCGACTGACTCTTCCTTTCGTGAAAGATTTCTCTGTAGTATGCGATGCTGTTTGATAGCATTTTACCTCCTCATAAACAGAACTGCTGCATGTCCAGGGCAAGGTGGCACTGGACTGTTGAGAAGGAAGGAATTCCCTCAAGAATGTGTCTTGGGCCGGGTGCAGGGGCTCATGCCTGTAATCCGAGCACTTCAGGAGGCCAGGGTGGATCTCTCGAACCCAGGAGTTCAAGACCAACCTGGACTACACAGCGAGACCATCTCTGCAAACATACAAATAAATTAGCTAGGCATGGTGGCACACGCCTGGAGTCTCAATTACTCCGGACGCTGAGGTAGAATCGCCTCAACCCAGGAGTTCAAGGCTGCAGTGAGCTGAGATCACACCACTGCACTCCAGCCTGGATGGCAGAGTGAGACCCTGTCTCAAGAAACAAACAGGCAACGAAAGAATGTGTCTCTGCAAAAGGCCCACATCTGTGCCTGGAAAGCAGAACAGCTTGTCTCCTGAGGCTGCAGTGACGGAGCTAGGAAGGCCTCACAGCTGTGGGGGCCAGGCTCCTTACTGCACAGGTGGGATCTGCTGGCTCCAGAGAGTTCTTCAGACTGAGAAGAGGAAGCAGGCCCCTTGGCTGCCAGGCCCCAAGTCTCCCTTCCCGGATCAGAGCGGATAAACACCACGTACGGTAGACGGGCCTTGGAGAAATTCCCCACACAGGACTCCCTCATTCTAAGGTATTGCTTTAGCTCTGTGAAGAAAATGTAATTAGCCAGATACTGATGTGCACCTGTAGTCCCAGCTATTTGGGGCTGAGGTGGGAGGATCACCTGAGTCTGGGGAGGTCAAGGCTGCAGTGAGCTGTGACAGCTGTGACAGCCTTAGCAACTGAAGTCAATCTGTAAAACATGGACTCCCAATTTTTATCCTTATTTTCAGCATTCTCAGTGACTCCAAACTTTTTTGATATGTCTATTTTTGAAACATCTTTATTGCTTTTTCTGATTATACAACAGATGTAAGAATTCAAATATTACAAGATGACTTCTTTTAAAAAGTACATTTTAACATGTTATAAAATAAATGCCCATTTCAAAAAATTCAAGTATCATAAAATACATGATTTAGAAAATGAGCCCCCTGTCACCCGGGTCCCCCAGGATCACTGCTGTTGAGGTCTGTGTGTTTCCTTCCAGACTGTGCCGCCGCCTGCCGCCCACACTGCTGACAGGAGCTCCGTTACCATCTGAGCTGATGGTAACTCTGATAAACAGAGCAGAGTTCAGCTGCGGGTGCACTGAAGAGCTTCCAGTTTCTACACAGAAACACTTTCCTCATAAAAGCTTGAAACTGCAACATAGTTTTGCACTATGGAAATGTATCAGGGTCAATCATGAAATTAATGATAGCTGACCATTTCTGGCCTAGAAAAATGGCAGTTTCACGTGGTTCAACAGAACAGGGAATGCTCCTATTCATACATTGGGAAGTCTCCTCCTCTTTGGCACAATTCGGCTTGCTGGGCGTGCTGGCTCACACCTATGATCCCGGCACTTTGGGAGGCCAAGGTGGGCAGATGACCTGAACTCACAGACGTCCAGGAGTTCAAGACCAGCCTGGCCAATATGGCAAAATCCCACCTCTACTAAAAATACAAAAATTAGCCAGCTGTGGTGGTGGGCACCTGTTATCCCAGCTACTTAAGAAGCTGAGGCAGGAGAACCGCTTGAACCCAGGAGGCAGAGGTTGCAGTGAGCCAAGACCATGCCACTGCACTCCAGCCTGGGCAACAGAGTGAGACCCTGTCTCAAAAAGACCAAAAAAAAAAAAAAAAAAAAAAAATTCAGCGGTGAATGTCCTTGCATATTCTTTATGCAGAAGAACATACATCTTATCCCCGAATGCTTACCCCCAGATGTCTTACCCTCAAGACGCTCTCTTTCGGGCATTTGGAAGATCAAGAAGGATGGAGCTGCCCACTGGCCATGGAAATGGAGACTCAGCAGAGCTGATGCATAATCAACTCGTCCCTCCAGGCAAGAGCGGCCATCTTCAGCCAGGACACAGTTTTAGTATCGTGACCACACTACAGGGGCAAACCAAATACTGGAAAACCAGAGAACAGAAGAATTCCTCAGCGCAGAGACCGTTCTCATCCCTACTGACCGGTACAACCAGGAACTCACAGACATCCGGTGAGGACCTCAAAGCTGTCCTCTAGAAGTTGGGCTGTCAGAAAGTATAAAAAATTATTCAGGCCAGGCACGGTGGCTCATGCCTGTAATCCCAGCACTTTGGGAGGCTGAGGTGGGTGGACCACCTGAGGTCAGGAGTTCAAGACTAGCCTGACCAAAATGGTAAAACCCAGTCTCTTCTAAAAATACAAAAATTAGCCAGGCGTGGTGGCACATGCCTGTAATCCCGGCTACTTGGGAGGTTGAGGCAGGAGAATCACTTGGACCTGAGAGGCAGAGGTTGCAGTGAGCCAAGTTCACACCACTACACTCCAGCCTGATCAGCGAAATTGAAACTCCATCTCCAAAAAAAAAAAAAAAAAGATTTAGAAATGACAGAAATGACTGAAATCAGATTTACAGGAAATGTTTTTTAAGGATTTTTCCAGAAGCTATTGGAGTGACCAAAAAAAAAAAATAAATAAAAGGGCACCTGTTAAAATCATGCCCAGGTCAGGCCTCAACAAGCACGGGCGCACGCTGCGCCCGGGTCACTGGCGCTTTCGCACGGGCCGCATCCTCTTCAGCCTCGTCTGGCGTTTGTAGATTCTGTTCGGGTCACAGCTGAGCTTGTGCGTGGTTTTCTTATGGCAGACAACGTGCACCAGTTTTAGGTTCTCTGAGGTAAAAAGCAGGCCGTAAAAATACTCCCAGTCCACTTCTCTTCCGTCTTGTTCCTTAATTGCTTCCACCAGCGTAGGTATGATGGCACGTTTTTTTTCTATGCTGCAAAGCAAGGTCAGAGGCATCACTTTCTGTGGTCACACGCCACAAGCAACAGGTCACAGCAGCGCACTGCAGCCACAGCTCTTCACCCGCTCCCCTAAGTGCCATCACGGAAACCAACCGTGCCTGCTGGCCGGGTCTGTCTAGCAGAGCCTGATGCAGGCGGCCTTGCTCATCTTACTTTTTAAAACTTGACCTGTGGCCGGGTGCAGTGGCTCGTGCCTAGAATCCCAGCACTTTGGGAGGCCGAGGCAGACGGATCTTGAAGTCAGGAGTTCGAGACCAACTTTGCCAACACAGTGAAACCCCATCTCTACTAAAAATACAAAAATGAGCTGGCCATGGTGGTGGGTGCCTGTAGTCCCAGCCACTTGGGAGGCTGAGGCAGGAGAATCGCTTGAACCTGGGAGGCAGAGGGTGCAGTGAGCTGAGATTCCGCCACTTCACTCCAGCCTGAGCGACAGAGCAAGACTCCTTCTCAAAAAAAAAAAAAAAAAAAAAAACACCTGACTTGTCTGACTTGTGTCACTGTTCAGAATACCGAAAAGGACACAGAAAATAAAAGGGGTCAACCACCTCCCCACCACTTACAGTTGCCCACCATCAGCAACTAGCTTAACTGCCTCCATGTTTCATCTATGTATAGATTTATCCCAAACAAATTACATGACAGGACATGAAAACTCTACAAAGAGCCCCATAAAGGAAGCTGAAGTCACTTTGATACCACTTGTAATCTCATGTCCCTCCTTCTCCTCAGAGGTAATCGCTATTAAGGGTTTGCTATTTTTCCTTCGAGTCCTAATCTTATACCATTATATGCATATGTGTATGCCTGTTTAAAAAAACCACATGAGGCCAGACACAGTGGCTCACGCCTGTAATCCCAGCACTTTGGGAGGCCGAGGCGGGCAGATCACCTGACGTCAGGAGTTCAAGACCAGCCTGGCCAACATGGCAAAACCTCATCTCTACTAAAAATACAAAAATTAGCTGGGCGTGGTGGTGCACACCTGTAATCCTAGCTGCTTGAGAGGCTGAAACAGGAGAATCGCTTGAACCCTGGAGGCAGAGGTTGCAGAGAGCAGAGATTGTGCCACCGCACTCCAGCCTGGGCAATGGAATGAGACTCCATCTCAAAAAACAAAATACTAGATGAGGCCAGGCATGGGGCTCACGCCTGTAATTCTAACACTTTGAGAGGCCGAGGTGGGCGACCACTTGAGGCCAGGAGTTTGAGACCAGCCTGACCAACACAGTGAAACCCCACCTCTACAAAAAACACAAAAAACTTAGCCAGGCATAGTGGCACACGCCTGTAATCCCAGCTACTACTCAGGAGGCTGAGGCACAAACATCGCTTGAACCTGGGAGACAGAGGTTGCAGTAAGCCAAGATCACGTCACTGCCTTCTAGCCTGGGTGACAGAGCCAGACTGTCCCAACACACACACACACGCACACACACACGCACACACACACAACATACTGCTGTTTCACTTATAAGGCGAGGCAGGATTAGAGATGCCATGGCCAGGAGGGCTTATGGTGGGCGGTGGGCTAAACTGGTGGAGACCCCTCTCCCTACAGCCCACAGAAATGCTGAGCAAAAGTCACCTTGTTTTTTTTTTTTTTTTGGAAACAGTCTTGCTCTGTTGCCCGAGCTGGAGCTCAATCCTGGCTCATGGCAATGTCCACCTCCTGGGTTCAAGTAATTCTCCTGCCTCGGCCTCCTGAGGAGCTGGGATTCCAGGCATGCGCCACCATACCCAGCTAACTTTTGTATTTTTAATAGAGATGGGGTTTCACCACGTTAGCCAGGCTGGTCTTGAACTCCTGACCTCAGATGATCCACCCACCTCCACCTCCCACAGTGCTGAGATTACAGGCATGAGCCACCACACCCTGCCAAAAGTCACCTTGTTAAAATACCTAGTTGAGATCAAAAGAAAGGGGCTCCCCACCTGCCAGAAACCCAGAGAAATACGTGCACACAGGCAAGCTATGGTCCAGGAGCTCACCAGGGCTCCAGTCCCTGCTACAGGCCCAGGGGACCCCAGAAAGACAAAGAAGTGGGGCTGAGACCCCGCCATAGCCATTAAGGGGGACAGAAAAGCTTGAGTTTAGTCCAGAGCTGGGATAAGAGGAAGGGAAACCCACTGAACCTGTCACCTAGTGCTGCAGAAGCAGCCACCACAAAACACAGTGGTTTCCAGGGGTGGCCTGGGGGAGTCTTCTGCTGGTGTTGCCTGGTGCACTCAGGGGCTGTGTCTGCTTGGGGCTGGCCTGGGGCTGGGCCCTTCTCCCCTCTCCTCCCCCATCCTGAAGGGGCCAGGGCAGGCTCCCTCACAGGGCGACGGCAGTGTTCAGAGGGCACGAGTCCCCCACAAGAGCACTTTCCAGGCCTCTCTGAGCTCAGTGTCCCCTTCACTGGTGTCACATGGACAAGCCTGAATTCAGCGTGGGGAGAGTAGGCAGGAGAGCACGCAAGGGTGTGGACGCTGGGATGCGTTCCTGTCCCCACCTTCCACAGTCATCCACGGAGCGCAGGCTGTATGGCCCAGAGTACGCGGCCAGCACGGCAGGGAACCACAAGCGAGACACGGCAGGAAACGCTGGGCACCTGCAGGAGTCAAACGCGAACCCACAAAGAGCCACGCTGAAGGCCGGTGACACACAGGAGCACAGAGGCCTGCAGGAGACTTCCCACTGAATCGCGCTCCGGGCCGATACACAGCAGCAGAATGCTCCCCCAGCCGGGGAGCCCGACACAGCAGCAGCACAGGGCCGCCGCACGACAGACCCTTGAGGAGCCCAGCACAGTCCACGAGGACCCTCACTCCTGCCACCAACTACAGGCGGAGGGGTCCGAGACCACCTCAGACTCCACAGCTCCCCAAAAGGACTGGCAGATGCTCCAGCCAGCAGTTAGACTCAAGGTGATCGTTTCGTCCAGCTGCAGATGAAAACCAGCCAAGGTCAGGAGGCAGGTGGGGCGGTCCAGGAAGGCTCCAACCCCACAGCTTCCAGCTGTCCCCTCCCTGTGGAGTCACGGCCAGCACTAACTTCCACAGCCCCCCGTGATGACACGGCCAACCAGGAAGCTCACTGGGCCTGGGTGCCAGCCTTTCCTGGGGCTCACACAGACATGGCTGATGGCCCATGGGCCAACCTCCACCTCAAACCCTCTAGAGGCCGAGCTGACCCAAAGCCCCCACTCTAAATCACCCCATTAAACTATGCAGTGACCAAGGTCCCCAGGTGAACAGACACTCCTACCAGGCAAGACAGTTCAAGGCTTTGGATTCTACCTCCCAGCGGTCAAGAACAAATGTCAGACCCCTCTGTGGGCAAGGCTGAATTCTTTAGCACATGATCATAAAATAAAAATGCTTAAAATGCATGATTAATGATTAAAGTGATTAAAAAGAAATGAAATTAATGAAAACAGGCTGGCATAACAGGCTCGTTTTAACCCAGAAAAGGAAGGAAGTACTCAGCAGAGAGAAGGAACATGCCGACGGCTGAAGAGCGAATCTGTGAACAATACAGGAGTGTCTTCATCTGCTCTGGCTGCCACAGACAGCATTTACTCTCTCAGCTCTGGAGGCTGGAAGTCCGAGAGCGGGGGCCAGCAGGCCGGGCTCTGGGGAGGGCTCTCCTCCTGGCTGGTAGCTCCTCCTTCCTGGAGCCCTACCGACGTTTCCCACAGGGTCCTCACGGCCCCTGCCAGCCCTGCCCTGGGGCAACTTTCCCTTCTGTCCCCTCACAGCTACCTTTGGCAGTCTTTGGCCCTTTACTTCCCTTCGTTAACATTTTTTTTTTTTTTTTAATTCCTACCTTCTACCGTTTTGGGTTTCTCCTTGCTTATTCATTAGTTCCTGTCTCTTTTGTATTCTAGCCTATGTTTAAGGCACTTTCTCCCAGGGCTGCATGAGCTGCGCTTTGGGAGTTCAGTTTTTTGGTTTTTTGGTTTTTGTTTTTGAGGCAGAGTCTCGCTCCGCCACCCAGGATGGGGTGCAGTGGCATGATCTCGGCTCACTGCAACCTCTACCTTCTGGGCTCAAGCAATTTTCATGCCTCAGCCTCCCAAGTAGCTGGGATTACGTGTGTGGGCCACCACGCCCGGCTAATTTGTGTATTTTTGGTAGAAACGGGGTTTTACCATGTTGGCCAGGCTGGCCTCGAACTCCTGACCTCAAGTGATCCACCTGCCTCGACCTCCCAAAGTGCTGGGATGACAGGTGTGAGCCACCGCGCCTGGCTGGAGTTGTTTTGAGACGCATGATCATGGTTTTGTTTTTGATCCATGAAGCTTCCAGAAGTCATTGTAGTCTCCACACATGGCTCATGCCTATAATCCCAGCACTTTGGGAGGCCTCGGAGGGTGGATCACGAGGTCAGAAGTTCAAGACTAGCCTGGCCAAGATGGTGAAACCCTGTCTCTACTAAAAGTACAACAATTAGCCAGGCACAGTGGCAGGAGCCTGTAATCCCAGCTACTGAGGCTGAGTCAGAGAATTGCTTAAACCTGGGAGACGGAGGTTATAGTTAGGCGAGATCACACCACTGCACTCCAGCCTGGGCAGCAGAGCGAGACTCCGTCTCAAAAAAAAGAGTGGAAGCTGAACAGATCTTTTTAAACACTGAGTAGAGTTTATACTCACAGCCACTCGTGGAAGAAACACTAGGGGCTACAAATCAGTAATCAGAAAATGAAGCCAGAGGTAAGGGAGGAAGCACCGGCAAACACAGACACGGGTGAATCTGTGGTTAAATAAAAGGGAGCATTGACCATAAAACCACACCAGCATTCTGTGCAGGATTAAAACAAGGTGGGATACGAGCACTGAAGAATACTGCAGAGGGTCACGAAGGGGCCGGCCCGGGAGAGGGGACAGCAGCAGTGACCCTCTTCCAGTACAACCAGCATTAGGAACACCACGAATGTCAAAGCACGGAAGGGTCGGGTAATGGGCAAGGGAAAGAAGGAAACTCAAGTAGGTCAACAGAAGGCACAGAGGAGACCAGAAGAAAGTGAAGACGTGGCGTGGTGAATAGGAAACCCAGAGTAACGCAGCTCAAATCCAATCTGCGTGTTCACTCAGCAAAACGGCCAACAGAGGTTGACTGAGTGGGCCAGGCGTGGCGGCCCCCACCTGTCATCCCAGCACTTCGGGAGGCCGAGGCAGGTGGCTCACTTGAGGTCAGGAGTTCGAGACCAGCCTGGCCAACATGGTGAAACCCCGTTTCTACCAAAAATACAAAAATTAGCTGGGCGTGGTGGGAGGTGCCTGTAATCCCAGCTACTCAGGAGGCTGAGGCAGGAAAATCGCTTGAGATAGCTGTGAGGAGACAGAAGGGAAAATTCCCCCACGGCGGGGCTGGCAGGGGCCATGAGGACCCTGTGGGAAACGTCCCTAGGGTTCCAGGAAAGAGGAGCTGTCCCGGCCCTGCCCACCACAGCCCTCCCACTGCAGGCAGAATTCTGCTGGGCTAAGGAGTCAGGCCCACCCGGAGCCCACAAGGGCACTCCCAGTGCAGCCTTCTGCCCAGAGGCCCCTGAGCTACACGGGCCGGACCAGGCCATCCTCCTCAGACAGGCTGAGCCCCAGGGCCTGCGCCCTTCAGCCCGAGGAGGAGGGTGTTCCAAGCCTGATGCTGTGTGTGCAGGCCCCGGGCGTGAGGTGGTGCTGAGGTGGCAGGCCATGGCTGGGCTCCACTGCCCTGCACGTCCCAGAACCGGAAGAGGCCTGCAAATTCTCAATCCTTCCCAGCCACGATGATACCTAAGTGCAGGTGGGGGACAGCACATGTTTATTTCAGAGTTTGTTAGTTTTGATTCTTAAACATTTAAACATGTGGCACATGGTGTCAAGCCCCACAAACGCCAGGGCAGGCCTGTGGCAAACAGACCAGTGTCTCTGCCACTTTCCGATAACCAGTGCTAAAAACCACATTTTTTTTTTTTTTTTGAGGCAGAGTTTCGCTCTTGTTACCCAGGCTGGAGTGCAATGGCGCGATCTCGGCTCACCGCAACCTCCGCCTCCTGGGTTCAGGCAATTCTCCTGCCTCAGCCTCCTGAGTAGCTGGGATTACAGGCACGCGCCACCATGCCCAGCTAATTTTTGTATTTTTAGTAGAGATGGGGTTTCATCATGTTGACCGGGATGGTCTCGATCTCTTGACCTTGTGATCTACCCACCTCGGCCTCCCAAAGTGCTGGGATTACAGGCGTGAGCCACCGCGCCCGGCGCAAAAACTACAGTTTTAATGAAAACCCAACGTACTCATCTGTGTGTAAGTATTCATATTTAGGAAGAGCAAGAGAAAATATAACCCCAACACACACTTCGTGAAACCTTCCTCTGACTCGCGCTGTGCCTTCTGCTCTTTTCATCTGTGCTCTGTTCTAGGACGGCGTATTTCATCCTGTAAATGCTGGTTGTGTCCCCTAGATTGACGTCCCCACCCACGATGGTCTTGAAAAGGACAAGAGCATCAAGACGGCTGGGAGGAAACATCTCTGGGTACTTAGTGCGTATTGCAAGGGTCCAGCAAAGCAGCAGAGAAGAGAGTAGGAGAATCTCTTTGGGATAAACAGGGCAGGGCAGGATTTCCTAACACACAAAGGGAATGTCTGAGCACAAAACCATTTACAACTTGCTGTGGGCCAGGTGTGGGGGCTCATCCCTATAATCCCAGCACCTTGGGAAGCCGAGCTGGGAAGATGACCTGAGGTCAGAAGTTTGAGACCAGTTTGGCCAACATGGCAAAACCCTGTCTCTACTAAAAAAAATACAAAAATTAGCCAGGCGTGGTGGTGCACACCTGTAATCCCAGATACTCAGGAGGCTGAGGCAGGAGAATCTCTTGAACCGGGGAGGCAGAGGTGGTAGTGAGCTGAGATGGTGTCACTGCACTCCATCCTGGTGACAGAACAAGACTCCATTTCAAAAAATAAATACATAAATAAAACTTGTGATAAAAGATATCATAGAATTAGCATACCCAGAATGTGTAAAGCATGCCCACAAGTAAGTCCACAGCCCAAGACAGAACGAGCAAGGCAGAACACCAAAGATACAAGCGGCCACAGCCACTGAAGGAAAAGCTCAACCTTCCTAGTCATCCGGAGAATCCAATTCGAGCAAGAGAATCTGTGTCTCACCTATAGGATGCAAAAATGCAAAAGTGTACAATGACACCAAGTGGCACCTAGAACCCAGGACAGCATGAACTCACACGGAGGCAGGATTCTGCTGGGCTGAGGAGTCAGGCCCAGGTGAGCGTGGAGGCTGGGACACTCGGGAGAGCAGCCTGGCCAGGCTCAGAGAGGGGACAGTGGTGTCATTAGGACCCAGCACACTCCCGAGAGGGACTCAAGCTCAGACACTGAGCCATCTTGCCCATGCTAGGGGCACCTCATCCACACCTCAAGGTCACGTCTGGATGAGGCCTGAGGATCTGAATTCCCATCCAGCTCCCAGATGTTGCTAAGGCTTTAAAGTGACCACACTTGAAACAGCACGGAACCACACCGTAAAGGTTCATCCCACAGAGTATCCATCCCAGGGACTCTTACAGTGATGAGAACGTGGAAATAACCTAAATGCAGCACGGAAAGATGTTAAAATTAGAGCCTTTTCAACAAGTGAAGTGTTTGGCACCTGCTAAAATGAATGTGCCAAATCTACACGTGTCACCATCAGCATAGCGTGCAATGAAAGGCACACTGCAGAGTGGACGCTGCACGTGTGTGTTAAACTCATGTGTGTGATTAAGGTACAGCGACAGGGATCTGCAGACGACAGCGTGGGACGCCGCGTATGTGTGTGTTAAACTCATGCGTGTGGTAAAGGTGCAGCGACAGCGCTCTGAAGGGCACGCATACCTTTCCCAAGAGTGTTTTCCCTTGGCATAAGGTGTAGGGGCTCAGTATGGACGGGGTAAAAGCTCAGCTACGACTACGTGTTTTACATACTTTAAAAAAATCGCACTCCGAAAAGGTTGAGTATCCCCATCTGAAATCCGGGGGACCAGAGTGCTTTGGATTTGGGATTTTTTTAGGATTTTGGATTATTTACATTATGCTGACTAGTTGGACATCCTTAAAAAAATCTTAAATACAGCCAGCAGTGGTGGCACGCACCTGTAATCCCAGTACTATGGGAGGCCGAGGAGGGCGGATCACCTGAGGTTGGGAGTTTGAGAACAGCCTGATCCACATGGAGAAACCCCATCTCTACTAAACATACAAAATGAGCCGGGTGTGGTGGCACGCACCTGTAATCCCAGCTACTTGGGAGGCTGAGGCAGGACAATCGCTTGAACCCAGGAGACAGAGGTTGCAGTGAGCTGAGATTGCACCACTGCACTCCAGCCTGGGCAGCAAAAGGGAAACTCCATCTTAAAAAAAAAAAAAAATCCCAAATCCTAAATGCCCCAGTAAGCATTTCCTTTGAGTGTCATGTTGGTACTCAGAAAGTTTTGGATTTTGGAGCACTTCAGATTTCCGATTTTCAGATTGGGGATGCTCATCCTGTACAGCCACTTTAAAGGCATTTGAAGGTTTCTGTCTTTAAAAAGCAACGGCAAGGTTACAGTGAGAGTCAAGGAAGACATCCTGGCTGAAAAGAACGGAGTTTTCCACCTGCCCATCTGTTAGAGCCATTGAGCTCGTGTGGGGATGAAACACTCCTGGCTAGCCGAGACTTCTGCTCATGCTGGTTCCACAAAATAAGCCAGCCGGGCCTGCTGGTGAGCACCTGTGGTCCCAGCGACTTAGGAGGCTGAGGCAGGAGGATCACTTGAAGCCAGGAGTTCAAGGCTTCCGTGAGCCATGATCCTGCCACTGCACTTTAACCTGGGCCACAGAGCAAGACTCCCTCTCTAAAAGAAGAAGGAAAAGGGAAAAACACTCTTACTATCCTAACACCGGGAGCTGTAATCCCAGATACTGAGCTCACCCGGGTTCCAACTCAGAGGTTCGGAACCTCTGACAGCCGAGAGCTGGGCCCTGTGTTCTGGGAAAGGATGCTGCCCACCAGTTCCATCCAGAGGGAAGACTGGAGGGGACAGGAGGGATGGCCCTGGGTCAGGCACCCGTACTGACAGTGGAAGGAATGGTGTGTGCCTGCCCAGTAGACCCCCATGCTGCCTCTAGGCACCCCTTCCCTGAGCTGTAACACGGGCGCAGCACTTGAAACCCAAGGAGGCAACATTGTGGCAGGGCCAGGGCCCGGCAGGCGCTCTCAGGTCTGGCCCTGCTCCGTGAGCTTACATGTGATCCAGGTTCCAGGTCCCAAAGAGGATCCTGCTCTCCCTGTTGCTGTAGGGGTTGATGGAGTGTCTCGACAAGCAGCTGTCCATGTCGAAGGGACCCTGGGGGCAAAAAGAGAGCAAAGGAAGGCCAGGAAGTGAGTCTCTTTTTGCTTTTTTTTTTTGAGATGGAGTCTCGCTCTGTTGCCAGGCTGACGTGCCACGCTCTGTGCAGTGGCGTGATCTCAGCTCACTGCAACCTCTGCCTCCCTGGTTCAAGCGATTCTCCTGCCTCAGCTTTCTGAGTAGCTGGGACTACAGGTACGCAACACCATGCCCAGCTAATTTTTGTATTTTTAGTAGAGACGGGGTTTTACCATGTTGGCCAGGATGGTCTTAATCTTTTTTTTTTTTTTTTTTGAGACAGAGTTTCACTCTTGTTACCCAGGCTGGAGTACAATGGCGCGATCTCGGCTCACCGCAACCTCCGCCTCCTGGGCTCAGGCAATTCTCCTGTCTCAGCCTCCTGAGTAGCTGGGATTACAGGCACGCGCCACCATGCCCAGCTAATGTTTTGTATTTTAGTAGAGACGGGGTTTCACCATGTTGACCAGGATGGTCTCGATCTCTTGACCTCGTGATCCACCCGCCTCGGCCTCCCAAAGTGCTGGGATTACAGGCTTGAGCCACCGCGCCCGGCGGTCTTAATCTCTTGACCTGGTGATCCACCCGCCTTGGCCTCCCAGAGTGCTGCGATTACAGGCATGAGCCACCGCGCCCAGCCAGAACTGAGTCTCCTATGCCGTCTCTATCACCAAGCGACATGCTTTAGACGTGGAGCCCACCCAGAGCTGGTGTTGAAATGTTGTCTCCAGGGTGGGAGGTGGGGCCTGGTGGGAGGTGATGGATCACGGGGTGGACTTCTCAGGAAGGGTTTAGCACCATCCCCTCGGCGCTGTCCTCGACATGGTGAGTCCTCCTGAGATCTGGTTTAAAAGCGTGTTGCGCCCACCCCTCACTCTTGCGCTCGCTTCTGCCTCCACCACCTGAGACATGCATGCTCCTACTTCCCCTCCCACCACACATGTAAGTTTCCTGTGGCCCCGCCAGAAGCCGAGCAGATGCCACTGCCATGCTTCCTGTACAACCTGCTGAACCGTGAGGCAATTAAACCTCTTTTCTCATAAATGACCCACGCTCTATTTCTTTATAGCCATGCAAGAACAGCCTAACACACCAAGTCAGGTGATCTTACTGAGGCACCTCACCATGGAGTGCTGCCTTCGGGAGATGAAGAGTTCTATCTTTGGAATCAGATCTTTCTTGTTCTCACATTATCCCCCTAATATTATGTTCTGAGTTTCCAAGGAGGACAAGGAAGTTATTGTCACTGCTACCCCTGTGATCACACACCAGCACCCCCACCTCCCGGGAAGTGAGGCCAGGAAGGTGCCGACTTGCCCAGCATGAGAGAAGCAGGGACCCAGGCACCAGATGCCCCCTTTCCAGCCACTCCCCGAGGCTTCCTGATCCCAGTGCGGAGGCAGAGCGCCTCACTGACGGGCGAATCCGCGGCTTCCCTCTTCCCTGTGGTCTGCAGCCCAGCGCTCACCACAATCATTCATGCACAGACGTCTGCACCACACAGGCCCGGAGCCCCAGTGCCCCCCTCAGTCTGTGCCCCCATCATGCCAGGTACTCGCAGCCTCCCAAGCAGAGCCCACTGGGTCCCACTGCCATGCCTGGCCGCTTGGCCCCTCCCAGCCCACTTTTGCTCCCCACCAATCAGTCAACCCGCTCTAAAGCCACACCCCGGCCCTCGCACACAGGACGCTGGTTGAAGCTCCTGCAGCCCCGCGGCCTCCTCTGCCTGGCTGTCACGTCTTTCACCTTCCAGTGTGCGGGACTCACCCTGCCATCAGGGAGAAAGGGTTTTCCCTCTTCGTGTCCCAGCCCCTTACACAGTGCCAGGCGCAAGGCAAGTACTCAGTGAGCGGTGAGTGACCGCTCTGCAAAGTCTAAATGTTAAGCCAATTTGGAAGACGTGTTTTTATGGTCAGAGGCCATCACCCCAGAAGGATCTAACTGGCAGTAGCAGCAAGGAGCCTTGTCCGCTGGGAAGAAGCGACTGGAAGCCATGCCCATCACCCAGCCCCTGCTGCCAGACCCACTGAGTGGTGCTCAGAAGATCATGGGCATCAGGGGACCTTACTGGGATCACAACTGCAGTTTGCAAATGCCGAAAGGCACCTCAAGTTGCTTCCCACACCATGGAGCCAGGGTGTGCCCAGGACTCGCCAGAGACACAGAAGCACCACTAGAGGCTACAGCACGCCCACATGGTACAGAAGGGACACCTGGGAAGGCAGCGGGGGAGCGCGGGCCTGGCTTCCAGCCTCCAGAACCATGAGCAGTACCGGCTGCTGTTCCAGCCAGGGTCATCCGCTATGGCAGCCAGAGCTGATTGAGACACTGCCCAGCCATATGGAGACACGCCCCGGACGGGGCCCTGGAGCCGTTTTCAGGCTCCCCAGGGACGCCTGTGTGCACTGGAGCTTGAGAGGCACTGGCTGAGACCCTGCCACCCTCCCCAGGAATGTGAAGGCTGCATCTCTTTACAAGGCTTTGCCCAGGCAGGCCAAGGACTGAAGGTCCCCTCCTGCCTTGCCCTAGGCGGGCTGTGCTCTACAGGCCAGCCTGGTGGCCCCAGGATAAAAGGCACACAGCTCACCTGGCAGGAGAACCAGCCTTCCGGTGTGCAGAGACGGCTGCCACCTTTGGCTCCTCTGTCGAAATAGCTACCATTGTACTGCACAGACCGGAGCTTCTGGCACATGGAGTCGAGGACCCGCAGGAATTCTTCCTGAGCCTCCACACCCACCATGGAGGGGTAGGAGCTCACCTGGGGGAACCAAGGAAGGGCGCTGAGCCTGGCACACGGTGCCCTGAAACCCGCACCAGCTCTCAATCCATCCCACTTCACGGCCCTCTGAGACCCTGCCCAAGCCCAGTCCTAGGGTCAGAGGATCTGAGTTCACATGGCTTCCTGGCCCCTGCTGGGCTGTCCCACCCTGGGAGACTCTGACCTGTGAAATGGAGGGAACCACGCCAGCCCCCAGGCTGGGTAAGACTTAGATGAGATAACAGGCCAGGCACAGTGGCTCACGCCTGTAATCACGGCATTCTGGGAGACTGAGGCTGGCAGATCCCTTGAGGTCAGGAGTTTAAGACCAGCCTGGGCAACAAGGTAATACAATGTTTCTACTAAAACTACAAAAAATTAGCCAGGCATGGTGGCACATGCCTGTAATCCCAGCTACTCAGGAGGCTGAGGCAGGAGGATTGCTTGAACCTGGAAGATGGAAGTTGCAGTGAGCCCAGATCGCACCACCGTACTCCAGCCTGGGCAACAGAGTGAGACTCCATCTCAAATAAAACGGAAAAAAGTAAGATGAGATAATAAAGTCAGGCAGCCACGGCCATCCACCCTGGTTAGGTGGGCAGTGGTCCACGGAAGATTACACCTGCAGGGAAGAGTGTCAGGATCAGTTCACTCTGCTGCAGGGATCCGGCTAGAAATGCAGGGGAATGTGGACAGTCACCAGCACCTCCAGGAGAGGCAGAAAAACACAGGACGTGCGGCAGAGCGTTAGCAACTGTTCCGCAGAAAGGGGTGGGCTGAGGGCACAGGGGTCAGCCACACAGGCAGCACTGGGACAGGACACCCCTCACAGGGGTCTCCACAGCACCCTCCACGTACTAATGATGTACCGTGGCATGGCACGGCATGACAAAACCCACATTCAGACGGGGTGGATGGAAATGAAGGCAGAGCTGGCTCTACCTTTGGGAGGAAGGTGGAGAGGTCTGCAGACCAAGGATGGGCTCATGAGAAGGGCCGGGTGGTGGATGATGGGTGGCGGATGACAGGGTGTTGGTGACAGGGTGGCAGGTGACAGGACGACAGGTGACAGGGTGGCAGGTGATGGGTAACAGGTGACAGGGTGGCAGGTGACAGGTGACAGGGTGGCAGGTGATGGGTGACAGGGTGATCTACGCCTGTAGCGTGCTGCCTAGACCCTCAGATCCCTGCCAGCACCTGCTGACCTTGGTCACGGTTGGGCAAATGACGACTCAGGCTCTGGGCATCCTCTCCCGTCTGCCCTGATGTTCATCACTGCTGCCCAGGAAGAACCCCCAGAGAGAGGAGGGGAGGCAGGCAGTAGCCACCACCATCCCCCTCCCCAACCCCAGTGAGCTCAAGCTCAGGTGAAAAGACTCCATGGGTGCTGGCCCCCACAAAGAGAGCTGTGCAGAGCCCACACAGTGGGACACAAGGCTCCGCAACCAACCACACCCCAGAACAGGGACACTCTTTTCCTTGTTTTTTTTTTTTGTTTTTGAGACAGTGTCTCACTCCGTTGCCCAGGCTGGAGTCCAGTGGGGTGATCTTGGCTCACAGCAACGTCTGATTCCAGGGTTCAAGCAATTCTCCTGCCTCAGCCTCCCAGGTAGCTGGGATTACAGGCATATACCACCACACTCGGTAAGTTTTTGTTTTTTTTTTACGTAAAGATGGGATTTCACTATGTTAGGCAAGCTGATCTCAAACTCCTGGCCTGCCTTGGCCTCCCAAAGTGCTGGAATTACAGGCATGAGCCACCACATCCAGCCCAAAGCAGGGCCATCTCCACCACTAGAGACAGGCCCCACTCTCCACTCTGCCCCTCATTTGTCATCTCCGTCTATTTCTTTGTTCAAAGGAAGCAGAAGAGCCCAGGCAATGGACCAGAGGCTGAATTCCCTGTGAGGGCAAAGAGCAGTTCCCACTGAGAGCTTTAATGCTCAAATCTGCATGCATCTTCCTCTCCTGTCCTGGAGAAGCAGGGGCTGGTCTGTTTTAAAAGGCAGGGCTCAGACCCAGCAATAACTCAAAGCATCTCTGAAAAGCCTCTGGTGCAGGGAACGCCCCTCGCCGTTTCCACGTCTCAGGTCAGATGCCCGTGCGGCACCACAGGAGGGAAATGAATGAGCCGGCTGGGACACAGAAGACACTGACCAGCTGTGGAGGGACGTGGCAGAGCAAAGGGCTGACGGAGACGAGGGGCTGCCTGGGACACGTGCCTGTCAGAAGTGAACTGTCTGACACGTGAAGATATTCGAAGGTCAGTTTTACTCAAAACACACAACTCTGCAGGGAATGCTGCCCTGCCATGGGCAACAGCAGCCCCCCGAGAAGGGAAGTCCAGCGCCGACTGGGCGGGGGAAGAAGGGGACAAGTCAGTGAGGGCGATGCTCCTCGCAGCACGGGGCCCACATGCTGGCTTCCCTGACCGGAGCAGCCCCACCAGATCCACGCAAGCACAGAGTGTGGCCCTACCCACGGCTCGTCGTGAGGCCGAAAAGCTTCCACAGCCCGCGGAGCCTGGCTTCAAAAACCCATCCAGCATACCCGACCCTCACACGGGCTCACCTCTCTCAGGTAACTCCGGATCCGGCTCTCACAGCTGTATCTCAGATAGCCAGACTTACTCTGAAATCGGGACTCCAAGCCTGCAAGGAAAACGAGAAGACCTCTGAACCCACGGGGAGGCCAGGGGTTTCTGGGTCTGTGTCCTGCCCAGCTCCGGTGTCAAGCAGGGCGGAATATGAGGGTCACACTGCCAGCATCTTTTTATCTTTTCTTTCTTTTCTTTTCTTTTTTAGTGACAGGGTCTTGCTCTAGCCTCCAGGCTGGAGAACAGTGGCACGAACACAGCTCACCTTGACCTCCTAGGCTCAAGGAAGCCTCCTGCCTCAGACTCCCAAGTAGCTAGGACATGCAGTGGAGTGAACAGACTGTGGCATGTACATGCAGTGGAATGAACAGTGGCAAGTATATGCAGTGGAATGAATAGAGAGTGTGGTGTGTGTATGCAGTGGAGTGAATAGACAGTGTGGCGTGTATATGCAGTGGAGTGAATAGACTGTGGTGTGTACATGCAGTGGAATGAATAGTGAGTGTGGCGTGTACATGGAGTGAACAGACAGTGTGGTGTGTACATGCAGTGGAGTGAATAGACTGTGGCGTGTACATGCAGTGGAGTGAATAGACTGTGGTGTGTACATGCAGTGGAATGAATAGTGAGTGTGGTGTGTACATGCAGTGGAGTGAACAGACAGTGTGGTGTGTACATGCAGTGGAATGAATAGTGAGTGTGGCGTGTACATGCAGTAGAGTGAACAGACAGTGTGGTGTGTACATGCAGTGGAGTGAACAGACAGTGTGGTGTGTATATGCAGTGGAGTGAATAGACTGTGGCATGTACATGCAGTGGAGTGAATAGACTGTGGTGTGTGCATGCAGTGGAATGAATATAGTGAGTGTGGCGTGTACATGCAGTGGAGTGAACAGACAGTGTGGTGTGTACATGCAGTGGAGTGAACAGACAGTGTGGTATGTACATGCAGTGGAGTGAATAGACAGTGTGGCGTGTATATGCAGTGGAGTGAATAGACTGTGGTGTGTACATGCAGTGGAGTGAATAGACAGTGTGGTGTGTACATGCAGTGGAATGAATAGCGAGTGTGGTGTGTGCATGCAGTGGACTGAATAGACAGTGTGGTGTGTACATGCAGTGGAATGAATAGCGAGTGTGGTGTGTACATGCCATGGAGTGTCATTCAGCCTGAAAAAGAAGGAAATTTTGATATATGCTATGATATGAATGAACCTTGAGGACATTGTGCTGAGTGAAATAGGCCAGTCACAAAAGGGCAAATACCGTGTGACTCCAGTCATATGAGGTTCCTAGAGTCATCAAATCAGAGACACAGAAACTGGAACGGTAGTTGCCGGGGGCCAGCATAGGGGGAAGTGGGAGTGAGTGTAATGGGGACAGAGGATCAGCTTTGCAAGGTGGAAGGAGTTCTGGAGAGGACAGTAGTGGTGGCCGCACACAATGTGACTGTACCTAATGCCAATGACCTGTGCACTAAAAAATGGTTGAGATGCTAAATTTTATGTCATGTGTATCTTATCACAATTTTTAAAATAATAATAGGCCAGGTTCAGTGGCTCACACCAGTAATCCCAGGACTTTGGGAGGCTGAGGCACATGGATCACCTGAGGTCGGGAATTCGAGACCATCCTGGCCAACGTGGCGAAACCTCATCTCTACTAAAAATACAAAATTAGCTGGTTGTGGTGGCACAAGCCTGTAATCCCAGCTACTCAGGAGGCTGAGGCATAATCACTTGAACCCGGGAGGCAGAGGTTGCAGTGAGCCAAGATCATGCCACTACATTCCAGCCTGGGCAACAGAGTGAGACTCCATCTCAAAAAAATAAAAATAATAAAAAGTCCCTTGGCCATGTGTGTGGCTCAAGCCTGTAATCCCAGCACTTTGGGAGGCTGAGGTGGGTGGATCACGAGGTCAGGAGATTGAGACCATCCTGGTCAACATGGTGAAACCCCATCTCTACTAAAAATACAAAAATTAGCTGGGTGTGGTGGCGCGTGCCTGTAGTCCCAGGTATTCGGGAGGCTGAGGCAGGAGAATTGCTTGAACCCAGGAGGCGGAGGTTGCGGTGAGCCGAGATCGCACCACCACACTCCAGCCTGGCGACAGAGCGAGACTCTGTCTCAAAAAAAGGTCTCATCCGAGGGCTGCCCAGACTCTGGCCCCCACGTGAGGGGCGGGGGTGCCTTTCCCACGAGGCCAGGAAATCAGCACATTTTGTTCCGAGTTCCCCCACCTCAACCACAGGGTTACAGGCCAGCCCTTCGTTGGGCGCTTTTTGGACCCCGGCTTCTCCTGGCACCGCAGGCTCCGAAGAAGCCCCTCACCTGCCAGCTGCGGCACCCACGCACCTTCAAACCACGGCGGGTCCTCAGCCCGGGTCTCGGCCGCGATGTTCTGGCTGACGTTGTGTAGGAGGTCGGCCAGCAGCCTCTGCCTCTGTGGGGCCTGCTCATCACACAGCAGCTGCTGGGCGGCCTGGATGAGGCCCGCGTGCGGCTCGTGAAACGCACTGAGGAAGCGCCTGATGTCACTCACATCTGCCACCAAAGGGACAAACAAAAAGGTGCCAGTCTAGCAGAAGACACATCCTGCCCCGGTCACAAGAAGAACCTCTGACCCCATCTTTCCCATCACTCAGGGCCTGGGAATCACCAGGACTGAGACTGAAGGTGTCCCGGGTCTTTGTCCTTGCCCTGACACCAATGGCTGGGGACCACGCATCAGGGCAGCATGAGCACAGGGAGGAAGGGGCGGGTTGTGTTTCAGAAGACAGAGGGAAGCGCACCGAGAGACGGCTGCTTCCCCATTTGGCCTCCTCTCCTCCCAACCACGCTGCCCCTCCTTCGGCCCTTCCTGGAGACCTTGCTTTCAGACCTTTTCCTGCTCTCTCCTGGAGCCTTTTCACAACTCCCTGAAGCAGACTGCTCTCCAGGCAAGCACTTAATATAAAGTTAAAACAAAGTCTACCCAGGACCTTCACAAAATGTTAGCAAAGAGAATTCAGTAATGCGAGAAAAGAGGTATACACCATGGCAAGCAGGAATGCAAGGCTGGTTCACACCTCAAAATGAATCAGTCCGATCCACCGTATTAGAAAAGTCTCGTGATCACATCAGCGGATGCAGAAGACGACTGTGGAGCAAGGACATGGTAGAATCCTTAGACAACATCAAAAGCACAGCATAAAAGAAAAAAAATCAATAGACTGAGCTTCCTCAAAATTCAAAACACTTACTCTCCAAAAAAAAAAAAAAAAAAAAAAAATGCTCTTAAGAGAATGAAAAGACAAGCCACAGGGTAAATATTTGTCAGCGACATATCTGACAAAGAACTCATGTCCAGGTATTCTGGTAGGGTCAGGGGGTGACTTTCAAAACTTAACAGTGAAAAAAAAAATCCAGTTAGAAAATGGACAAGGGACATGAAGAAACACTTCACCAAGGAGTCTCTAAAGATGGCAAATAAGGCCGGGCGCGGTGGCTCAAGCCTGTAATCCCAGCACTTTGGGAGGCCGAGGCGGGTGGATCACAAGGTCAAGAGATCGAGACCATCCTGGTCAACATGGTGAAACCCCGTCTCTACTAAAAATACAAAAAAAATAGCTGGGCATGGGGGTGCGTGCCTGTAATCCCAGCTACTCAGGAGGCTGAGGCAGGAGAATTGCCTGAACCCAGGAGGCGGAGGTTGCGGTGAGCCAAGATCGCACCATTGCACTCCAGCCTGGGTAACAAGAGCAAAACTCCGTCTCAAAAAAAAAAAAAAAAAAAAAAGATGGCAAATAAGCATGTAAAAACATATTTAGGGCTGGGTGTGGTAGCTCACACCTACAATTCTGGCACTTTCAGAGACTGAGGTGGGAGAATCACTTAAGCCCAGGAGTTGAAGACCAACCTGGCAACAAAGCAAGACCCCATCTCTAAAATATAATAATAATAATTAGCTGTGCATGGCGGTGCACACCTGTGGTCCCAGCTACTTGGGAGGCTGAGGTAGGAGGATTGTTTGAGCCCAGGAGTTCAGGGTTGCAGTGAGCCATGATTGCCATTGCACTCCAACCTGGGCAAGAGTGAGATCCTGTCTCTATTTTTACACAAGATATTCAGATAGTTGGCATCGTTAACCGTTAGGGAAATGCATATTAAGGCTGCAATGAGATATCATCACATTGCAATCAGAATGGCTAAAATTAAAAGTAGCAACAATGCCAGAAGCTGGTAAGGCTGCACAGAAACTGCAGGGTGGAGAGGTAAGACGACCACTCTAGTATACAGCTTGGTGGTTTCTCTTCCTTATTTTAAGTAACTTTATTGAAATATAATTCACACTCCTTACAATTCACCTATTTAAAGTGTACAATTCAATGTGTTTTATTACATTCCCACAGTTGTGCAGTCACATCCACAGTCAACTTTAGAGCATTATCTTTTTTTTTTTTTTTTTTTTTTTTTTTTTTTTTTTTTTTGAGAAGGAGTTTCACTCTTTTGCCCAGGCTGGAGTGAAGTGGTGTGATTTCGGCTCACCGCAACTTCTGCCCCCAGGGCTCAAGCAATTCTCCTGCCTCAGCCTCCCAAGTAGCTGGGGCTACAGGTGCATGCCACTACACCCAGCTATTTTCTATATTTTTATTAGAGACGGGGTTTCACCATGTTGGCCAGGCTGGTGCCAAACTCTTGACCTCAAGTAATCCGCCAGCCTCAGTCTCCCAAAGGGCTAGGATTACAGGCATGAGCCACCATGCTCGGCCAATTTTAGAACATTTTCACCACCTGAGACAGAAACCTCATACTCTCACTACCAATCCCCCTCCCCTCCACCCTGCCCCCAACCCTAAACAACCACTACTCTATGTTCTGTCTCTCTAACATTCCTGTTCTGGATGCTTCCTGTGCGTGGAACCTTGCTGTGTGTGCTGGCATCAGGACTCCGCATGGTTCACAGCTCAGCCACACTGTGCCTTGTTCCTTGTCATGGTGAGTGATTCCACCGGATGGATTTGCCACACTTTATCTCTGTTCATCATTGGAGACTTGGGTAGTTTCCACCTTTTGGCTATTATGAAAAAAGCTACCACTGACGCTCACGTGTGAGTTTTGGTGTGGACATGTTTTCACTTCTCCTGGGTACTTACCTGGGAGTGGAGCTGCTGGTTCACATGGCGACTCTGTGTCTGAGAAGCTGCCAGACGGTTTTCCACAGCAGCTGTGCCATCTTCCCTTCCCGCCAGCCGGGCATGAGGGTTCCCGTTTCTCCACATCCTCGCCCACACTGGCTGCCAACCCAGTGGGTATGAAGAGGCATCTCACTATGGTTTTTGTTTGCAGTTCCCTCATGACTGATGATATTGAGCATCCTTTCATGTGCTTACTGACCATCTGAATATCTTCCTTGGAGACATTTCTATTCAGAACCTTTGCCATGTTTAATTAGGTTGTCTTTTTACTATTAAGTTACAAGGATTCTTTGTATATTCTGATGGAAGTCCCTGATCAGATACATGATTGGCAACCATTTTCTCCAATTCTATGGGCTGTCTTTTAGCCTCCTTCATGGTGTCCTTTGAAGCACCAAAGTTCCTAATTTTTATATTTCTGAAATGGAGTTTTAGTCTGTCACTCAGCCTGGAGTGCAGTGGCATGATTTCGGCTCACTGCAGGCTCTGCCTCCTGGGTTCAAATGATTCTCCTGCCTCAGCCTCCTGTGTAGCTGGAATTACAGGCACCTGCCACACACCCAGCTAATTTTTGTATTTTTAGTAGATAGGGAGTTTCACCATGTTGGCCAGGCTGGTCTCAAACTCCTGACCTCAAGTGATCTGCCCATCCCGGCCTCCCAGAGTGCTAGGATTACAGGCGTCAAAGCAGGAGCAGCGGGGAACAAATCTCTCAAACACCAAACTGAGGAAGGAAGTGGCATTTGATTTGGCCGGGAGCTGCAGGGGGCTACAGCCTCATTCACCGAGCTCCCCAAGCTGCAGCTTCTCTCCCCTTTTATGGGTTTACAACGCTAAAGGGGAAACTGAGGTGGAACTATGTCATTGTCCATTTGCTGGACATCCGACCTTACAATTTTTTGGCTTCATTGATTTGCTAATTCATATGCAGCGCGAGAGGGGACCAGCTGGGGAGGGGGCTTACAGAGACAAGACGAAAGCAACAAGCTGTTTGTTGGCAGAGGTGTTTCCAGGAGGGAGCCTGGTCGTGGAGACGTAGGGGCGTGACCCAGTGCCGGGCAACAGCCGGCAGTGACCGCATTCATCTGCAGCTCTTTCAAGGTTAACAGATAGCAGAGACGCTGGGAACTAAAAGGGAAGTCATTTCCCCGCTCTTCGGTATCTTATTTTATTTTTTTCTTCACCCTCCTTCCCATCTGGAAGTGGAGGACAGAGGAGGTGAAACAGAAGCTGGTGAGGGGGGTCTCCCCTCTTAGCATGAGCCACCGCGCCCAGCCCAAAGCTCTTAATTTTGATGAAGTTCACTTTATCTGTTTTTTCTGCTGCTGCTCAAGTTTTGGTGTCAAAAGAATCCTTTGCCCAATCCAAGGTGATGAGGACTTACCCCTATGTTTTCTTCCAAGGGTTTTCTATTTTTAACTTTTACATTTAGGTCTTTTATTTAAGTTAATTTTTGTATAAGGTACCAGGTAAGGGTCCGGCTTCATTCTTTCCTATGTGATTTTCCAGTTGTCCCAGCACCATTTGCTGAAGACACTATTCTTTCCCCTGCATTGAAAGGTCCTGGCATCCTGACCACAGGTACACAGATCTCTGGGCACTCTATTCCTCTGCGCTGTATCTGTCCTCACACCGGTGCCAGTCTTGACTAGTGTGGCTTTGTACTAAGTTTTGAAATCAGGATATGTGGGCCTCCTACTATGTCATTTTCCCAGTTGTTTTAGCTCTTCCGGGTCTCTTGCAATTCCATATGAACTGTGCGTTAGAATCAGCATGTCAATCGCTACATAAAACCAGTTGAAATTTTCATAGGGATTGTGCGGCGAGTTCTACCATCCTAACAATGTTCAGTTTTCCAATCCGTGAACATGGGATGTTAATCCATTTCTTCAGATCTGTCATTCCTTTCAACAATGTTTTGCAGTTTTCAGAATATAAGTATTACAATTTTTCATTACACTTATTCTAAGTATTTTATTATTTTTGATGCTAATGAAAATGGGATTATTTTGTTTCATTTTCAGATTGTTCATTGTAAGTGTGTATCTATATTCCTATATTGACCTTGTATCCTCCCACCTTGCTAAACTTGGTGATTAGTTGTAATCATTTTTTAGTGGATTCCTTAGGGTTTTCTATATGCAAGTTCATATGATCTGCAGATAGAGATAGCTTCACTTTTTCCTTTCCAATCTGGATGCCTTTTGTTTTTCTTGCCTAAATGTCCTGTCTAGACCCTCAGTGCCATGCTAAACAGCAGGAGTGGACATCCTTGTCTCCAGAAACTAAACACACACCACACAATGCAGTACTCCACTCCTGGGCATTTTCCCCAGAGGAATGAAAACCTACATCCCACCAAAACCTGGAAATTTGGCCAGGTGTGGTGGCTCACACCTGCAAAGATGGCCAGGTGCAGTGGCTCACACCTATAATCTCAAAACTCAGGGAGGCCAAAGTGGGTAGGTCACTTGAGCTTAGGAGTTCAAGACTAGCCCAGGCAACAGGATGAAGCCCTTGTTTCTACAGGAAATACAAAAATTACCCAGGCATGGTGGTGTACCCCTGTAGTCCCAGCTACTCAGGGGCTGAGGCGGGAGGATCACCTGAGCCCAGGAGGAGAGCTGCAGTGAGCTATGACTGCACCACTGCACTCCAGCCTGGGCGACAGGGTGAGACCCTGTCTCAAAAGAAAAAAAGAAAGAGAAAAGGAAAACCTGAATATAATTGGCCACAGCAGCTTTATTTGTAATAGTCAAAAAACTGAAACACAGAAAACATCCTTCCACAGGTGAATGGTTGAACAAACTGTGGTCAAAACAAACCATGGAATTCTATTCGGCAATAGAAAGGACAGAGTATGGATCTCAGGAGCCTTATGTGCAGTAAGAAAGGCCCATCTCAAAAGGTCACATACTGCTTGATTCCACTTACCTACTATTCTTCAAATGACAAAATTACAGACATGGAGAACGTATCAGCAGGTGCTACGGGCTAGGGATTGGTGGTGGCCAGGGGTAGGCAGGATTATAAAGGGGAAAACCTTCCGTGACGGATGGGAGACGTCTCTACCTTGCCCCTGACGCTGGTCACAGGTATCTACATAAGGAGAAATGATAGAAGAACACACACATTGTGATAGTGTCTGTGTGCCCGTTTTGATGTTGTGCCATGGTTGTGTCTGATGTCACCTTTGAGGGAAAGGGTGGAGGTACATGGGACCTTCCTATCTGTGCAACTTCCTGGGAATCTATCATTATTTCTAAATAAACAATTTAGGCCAGGCACAGTGGCTCACACCTATAATCCCAGCATTTTAGGAGGCCGAGGCAGGAGGACAGCTTGAGCCCAGGAGTGTGAGACTACCCTGGGCAACATGGCGAAACCCCATCTTGACAAAAAACACAAAACAATTAGCCAGGCATGGTAGAGAATGCCTGTGGTTCTAGTTACTTGGATAACTAGAACTTGGATAACGAGAGGCTGAGGAGAGAGGATAGCTTGAAACATGGAGGCTGAGGGTGCAGTGAGCCATGTTTGTGCCACTGCGTTCCAGCCTGGGCAACAAAGTCTCAAAACATAAATAAAATAAAAAATTTTTGGCCAGGCACAGTGGCTCATGCCTGTAATCCCAGCACTTTGGGAAGCAAGGCAGGATTGCTTGAGCCCAAGAGTTTGAGACCAGCCTGGGCAACAGAGCAAGACCCCATCTCAATGTTTTTTAAAAAAAAAAACAAAATTTGTTCAAGTCTAACAAATTTCGAAGAGGAGAACTAGTGGTCTCAGGGAAGAGACGGGGATAAAGCACCAGAGAGAGGAGAGACAGATAGACAGAGACAGACAGAGAGAGGAGAGAGACAGAGGAGAGAGACAGGGACTGGAAGGTGCCGGGAGGGACAGAGAGCCACGTGCTCTGCTCTCTTGCAACTATGCCCTGAAATGGGAAGGAAAGGAAATGTCCAAAGGCGAGGAATACCCTGAGCACGCCCCTGCCCAGCCCCGCCCCCGAAGGGGCCACCCAGAAGCCATCACAGTGATACATGTTCTGGCTGCATCCTCTGGGAGCACAAGGCCCAGTGGAGAAAGGGGGTTGCAACCTTGGCGCACACCAGAAGCGCCACCCTTCAGTGCTGACAGTTGAGTCCCCAACACTGCAGCCAGGGACGTGGCCACGTGGACGCTCCTCCTGGACTCCTCTCTTTCTGCCCTTTAGGCCAAGGAGGCAGAGCTCCATCCCTCAGAGTACCCACGTCCTTCCTGGGAACCAGAAGTGTCTCCTGAAGCCTCACCCCATCACACAACACTGGCCGACCCTCCCAGGGAAGGGCATACGATGGCGTCTCCCCCCACCGCGGCCAAAAGCTCTCCTTTGTAGAGTCCAACAAGCACAGACCTTGGCATTCAGCTGCTTCTGAAAGGCAGGACTCTGTGTCCTGAGGCTTCGATACAGATTCTCCTAAAGAGCCACCTCTCAAAGCAATTGCCCCCGAGCATGAACTCTGAGGACAGCATCTCCGAAAAGGTGAGAACCTTGAGTGACGGATGGGAGAGGTTCATTGTTCCTAAGCAATCGAGCATACCATGGACCACCACCCCGTCCTTCCAGAAGGGCCTCAGCCCAGCCGAACAGAACAGCATCTCTTCCTGGCTCCACCTTCCCCACCAAACTGTGCAGGCCCCAACCCCAAAGCCCTCCCCCTGCTCTTGGGAACTGCTAGGACACCTCAAACGAACACCAATAAAATTAAAAGATTTTTTTTCTTTTGAGACAGAGTCTCGCTCTGTCGCCAGCCTGGAGTTTAGTGGCACGATCTCAGCTCACTGCAACCTCCAACTCCCAGGTTCAAGGGATTCTCCTGCCTCAGCCTTCTGAGTAGCTGGGACTACAGGTGTATACCACCACATCCAGCTAATTTTTATATTTTTAATGGAGACGGGGTTTCACCATGTTGGCCAAGATGGTCTCGATCTCTTGACCTCATGATCCACCCGCCTCACCCTCCCAAAGTGCTGAGATTACAGGAGAAAGCCACCATGCTCGGCCAATTAAAAGATTTTTTTGAAGAAAAAGACAACCAACTGAGCAACGGGGTGCATGAAGGAGAGGGCTGAGGGCTCTGCCATCCAAGTGACGCTGACCAGCTCTGACTCGAGGGCTTCCTCCTTGAGACCTGAGAGTTCAGAGTAAGGGGGACCCTTTGCCACCCCAACAGGCACCCCGGGGCCAATCCCCCAGGACCAATCCCCCAGGACCCCTGAGAGTGCCAGCTTCCCGCCCACCTCCAAGGTCCTTGCCACTCACAGCCCTGCCAGGCCTGGCCCGAGGTGAGCAGCACCAGCTCGGTGTCATCGGGGATGCTGGGGAAGTAGTCCTCGGTCAGCTCCGTGCCATCCTCGTACAGGCACAGCCGGGAGCCGCGCTCAGGT